TTTCTTTCTCCTTCCCCCCCCCAGGAGGTGACGTGACCCTCACAGACCTCCCCCTGGCCGTGGCTCAGCTCCATGACAACATGCAGAGGAACGCAGCGGCGCTGGCCGCGTCTCCGGGCCGCGTTGTTGTCCAGGCGCTGCCGTGGGGCGACGAGCTGAGCCCCGTCCGCCCCGCGTACGACGTGGTGCTGGGTGCTGACGTGGTTTACGACCCGCGCTGCTTCCCTGCCCTGCTGGCCACCCTGCGGCGGCTCTGCGGGCCGCGCTCCGTCGCCTTCCTCAGCTGCGGGATGCGGCGCCAGCTGGGAACTGAGGGCTTCTTCCACGAGCTGCTGCCACTGCATTTCTGCGTCCGGCTGCTGCGGCACCACGGAGACACCAACGTCAGTCTGTACCGACTGACACTGCGCAGGGGTGGCTCTGGCTGTACTGAGTGACAGAAGTCAGTGAGAACACCAATGTCAGGCTGTACCGACTGACAAGTCAATGAGAACACCAGCATCAGTCTGTACCGACTGACACAGCGCAGGGATGGCTCTGGCTGTACCGACTGATAGAAGTCAATGAGAACACCAATGTCAGTCTGTACCGACTGACACAGCGCAGGGGTGATTCTGGCTGTACTGACTGACAGAACTCAGTGAGAACACCAACGTCAGGCTGTACCGACTGACACTGCGCAGGGCTGATTCTGGCTGTACCGACTGACAGAAGTCAATGAGAACACCAATGTCAGGCTGTACCGACTGACAAGTCAATGAGAACACCAGCATCAGTCTGTACCGACTGACACAGCGCAGGGGTGGCTCTGGCTGTACCGACTGATAGAAGTCAATGAGAACACCAATGTCAGGCTGTACCGACTGACACAGCGCAGGGATGATTCTGGCTGTACCGACTGACAGAAGTCAATGAGAACACCAGCATCACTCTGTACCGACTGACACAGCGCAGGGACGACGTCAGGCTGTAGTGTCGTAACACAGCGCAGGGCTGATTCTGGCTGTACCGACTGACAGAAGTCAATGAGAACACCAATGTCAGTCTGTACCGACTGACACTGCGCAGGGATGATTCTGGCTGTACTGACTGACAGAAGTCAGTGAGAACACCAGCATCAGTCTGTACCGACTGACAGCGCAGGGGTGATTCTGGCTGTACTGACTGACAGAACTCAGTGAGAACACCAATGTCAGGCTGTACCGACTGACACTGCGCAGGGGTGATTCTGGCTGTACTGACAGAAGTCAGTGAGAACACCAACACGGTACCGACTGACACAGCGCAGGGAACATGTCAGGCTGTACTGATTGACAAGTCAGTGAGAACACCAACGTCAGTCTGTACCGACTGACACTGCGCAGGGGTGGCTCTGGCTGTACTGACTGACAGAACTCAGTGAGAACACCAACACGGTACCGACTGACACTGCGCAGGGATGGCTCTGGCTGTACTGACTGACAGAAATCAGTGATAACACCATCAGTCTGTACTGACTGACACAACGCAGGGACGATGTCGGGCTGTACCGACTGTCAGAAGTCAATTAGAACGTCAACGTCAGTCTGTACCGACTGACACAGAGCAGGGGCAACATCGGGCTGTAACTGACTGACAGAAGCCAATGAGAACACCACCATCAGTCTGTACCGACTGACACAGCGCAGGGGTGGCTCTGGCTGTACTGACTGACAGAACTCAGTGAGAACACCAACACGGTACCGACTGACACAGCACAGGGACCATGTCAGGCTGTACTGACTGACAGAACTCACCGAGAACACCAGCATCAGTCTGTACCGACTGACACAGCGCAGGGTCAACATCAGGCTGTACCGACTGACACAGCACAAAGGCAACAACACCAGTCTGTTCTGATTGATGTAATGGCACAATCACACCGATGGCAGCCTGTACTGACACAGCACGGAGACAACGTCAGGCTGTACCGACTGACAGAAGTCAATGAGAACACCAACGTCAGGCTGTACCACCTGACACAGCACAAAGACAACAACGTCAGCCTGTTCTGATTGACGTAACAGCCGGATCTCACTGATGTCAGTCTGTACCGACTGACGCAGCACAAGGCACCGATTTCCATCTGTTTCAACAGACACAACACCACGACAGCACCAACGTTGGTCCGTTCTGATTGACGTCACAGCACGTCAGCGCCAACAGCAGTCCGTGCTGACTGACATGACACCGGGAGAGACCGATGTCAGCCCTTAATGACCCACATCAGCCCTTAATGACCCACATCAGCCCTTAATGACCGCCATAACGGTGGTTGGTGTGGAAGGGTCCTTAAAGATGGCAGATCCAAGGCCGTGCTCCCCGCTCCCGCGCTTCTCGGGGCGGTGACGCCGGGTTCTTCCCCCCCCCTTCCTTTGAATAAAGATTATTTTCATATATTTTAACCCAAATCTTCTATTTTGTTGTGAGGTTCGGGGCCCTTTAAGAGCCCCGCCCGCCCGGCTCAAGCCCCGCCCCTCTGCCCGCCCCCTCGTCACCCAACGGCGCCTCAGCCAATCACCGCGCAGCCGGTGTACGCGCGGGGCGCATGCGCACCGCTCCTGCTCTACGCCGGACTGACCACGGTCGGCACCCGTAGCGCGTGACGTCATTTGTGCGCGCCGCGCTGTGACGTCATAACCGCGCGCCGCTACCGGGCGTGAGACAAGCGGGGATGCAGCGGGCGGCGTGGGTGAGCGGCGGGGCCGGGCGGAGAGGCGGAGCCTGGGGGGGTCCTGGGGTTTGTGGCGGGGGGGGGATCACGGGGCCTCGCAGGGCCCTTCCTCCCACAAAACCGGGGCCCTCCGGGAGCTCCCCGTGCTGCTTCTCCCGCTCCCGGGGCCTGCTGAGGCCTACGCGGCCTGCCTGAGCCTCACGGGCCTTTAATCCCCCCCCTTCAGGTCGGGTTGCGGCCCACCCTGCGGTGGTTCCGCGCCGCCCCCCCGGCGTTGGCTGCAGACAAACCGGCGCTGCTGAAGCTGCGGAAGAGCACCGGGCTGCCGTTCGTGAAGTGTCAGGAGGCGCTGCGGCAGTGCGAGGGGGACGTGGGGAAGGTGGGGGGCGAACGGAAAG